AGAAAAAGCACCCCTGGAAATGTTCTCTTTAAAAATTGTGTAATGAAAATCATACTCAACATATTCATATAGCTCTTTTTTGCGTTTCCTGAATAACAACTTAATTTCTTCAGCTGCCCGAGAGTGTGATGCTCTTTCCCGCCTCACATCTTTCCATGGGTCTTGGATGCACTTTCCTTCTCCTGGCCACCCCACTTACCTTTTAGGTCCCTGACAGCACCACTGAAGCTAGAAGGGCACATGGGGATTCATTATACCATGCTCCATACTTTTGAGCATGTGTGGAAATTCCATAATAAGCTCTTTTAAAAATAACTCTTTAGTACAAGAAATCAAAGAAAAACCATAATGGGTCATCCCAAGGACACCAATTCCAACTGCCCACAAACCTGAACTGCAGCACACCCACTAACAAATACACAGCATTTGCCCACTGTCTCATGGATGTGTCCACGATAACCCCACGTCTGTTTTATATGTTGTCATACAATTTCACATACTGAACTTATATTGTGATAATGTAGCGTTTACTACATTAAACATGTATACTGGCCTAACTCATCCCACTTCACCTGAAGCTGAAACAAGTATAAACAAAGAGCCTGCGTTATTTCACAAACTCCCACGAGCATTAATGACACATTAAATTATTTTCAAAGCGTTCTGTGTGCCCAACACATTTGGGAAAATCTGCAAGAGTTGATGTTTCAGAGTAGGAAAATAAATACCTGGGAGAAAAGAGTGCAGAATTTAGGAAGGAAAAAAAGTGTTTTCTTGATCCTTATCCCAAAACGAGTTTAGGGAATCAAGGCACACAGTAGCTCTCCAAAGGTGCTTTGTAAGAGCCCCACTGATTGGCATGAAGACAGCCAAATTAGCATTAGCCTCCGTCGCACCCACCCAACCCACCCTGACTGATGCCACAGCCCCTCACCCTCCTTCCCAAAGACTGCACCTCCTCCATGCTTGCACACCCCACCCACTGCAGACAGCTCAGAGGCCTCTATGAGCAGGCTCTACGCCTTTCACAACTACCAGAAACCTGGCCAAAGCACTGCCCAGGGAGGACAGGATGTGGCAGTGACCTGGCAATAAAGGCCTGAGTCTTCCCCACACCCAAGTGCTCATGGTAAAAGTACAGTATCAGTACTGATACTTAGCTAACATTTTGAGCACCTATTGTGTGCCAACCACCATTACATGCATTTACTCCTATTTTCACTTAATCCTCACAATTCCTTCTATGAGGTTGAAGAATTTCATGAGAGAAAACTGACCAAAAACAAAGCAAAACAAAAACCACTGCTGAGAGATTAGGGGGAAAAAATCTTGCACAGGATTCACAGCTAAGAAGTAGAGCTTGGACACAAAATCAGGGAGACGGTAGAGCTCTTCATGATGCTATTACGTTTTTGGTAAGCTCAATTTAGAGGGGAAACACCAGGACAAGACTGATAACCTGTTGAAAGCATTAGAGAAATGCCAAGGAGACAAGTCAGCTGACAATGCTTCCTGTGCATTGCAGGGAGGTGGTCAACAGCATTGTGACAACACAAGGTCAGCACCTCAGCTTGTGAAGAAACCGAATTCTGTCAACTTCCCTTAGAGGACCCATCCCTAGGGAACTGACTCATACTGAGCCAGAATGCCAACTTATGAAGTTACAATGAGAAACTATAACTTGGAGGAAAATCAGAGCATTCGGTGTTTGCAGTTCAATTCACCCTCTTTGAAGATGGCAAAATTTACATGGGCAACCAAGTTATCACCAGGAAGTTGCTTGGTAAACACTGAGGTACAGCACTAGTATTTGTTAGATGCCTCGAGTCATAAAAAAAAAAAAAAAACCTGACATGAGGGTAATATAAATACCAGGGCCAATCATCCTGGATTTTCTGGGACAATCCTGATTGCCAGAACTTGAAGGAAATGGTTAATAGACTTCTGTGGACAGCACCCAAGGACGTGTTCACTCGGCGAACTCACAAACGAGTTAACCAAGAAATGTCAAGGATTGCAAACAATCCTTGACAACGCTTGAAGTCGTGAGAATACTTTCTTGGGATGTTCCCAGGAGACGCAATATAGATAACCAAGTGCTAGAGAAGGGAGGTAACGGCCTTCTGCTCTTGAGAAAAGTATAACAGAATTTATGCATTAATGCTTATCTCGCATGCACTAGCTTGCTAAATGTAATAAAAGCTGTAACAGCAGCTGGGTCGGTGCTATTTACCTGAGAGAGCAGTAGCCCCCCGCTCTTCTCCTGCATCTCGTCTGCCGTGTCTTCCTTCTCGTCTCCGATCATTTTAATCAACAAGAACTCTTACAGACAGACAAAATATTATATTACTATTTCAAATATGTGACATCCCTGCCGGGATAGTGGTATCTATTCTCCAATTTTCTCATTTTCAAGGTTTTATGTAGATAACACCTTTCAATATTCAATTTCCTTTTTTTTTTTTTTTGTCTTTTTTGTGACCGGTAAGGGGATCGCAACCCACCGGCCATCTATCTAGGATCCGAACCCACGGCAGGAGCGCTGCTGTGCACCCAAGCGCCGCACTCTCCCGAGTGCGCCACGGGGCTGGCCCTCAATATTCAATTTCTAAACATACTTAACATACTTACCTCAAAAAGCACTATAATCTGTGGTTTTTCTGTTTCATTATTTTTAAATTTGTTATTGAATCATATAATTGATTATACATATTTTGGGGTTCAATGCTGACATATGATCAAGTATTACTAGCATATATATTGCTACAAATCATACTTATTCTTTATGCCCCTTGTTCAATTGCTCCCCATCCTCTTCTTCCTTCCCCCTCCCACCACCAATAACCCTACATTTCTTCTCTCCCTCTGAAAGAGTAATGGTTACTCTGTTGATTTGTTGCCTAGATGATCTGTCCAATGCTGATAGGTGTGTTCAGGTCCCCCAGTATTATTGTAGAGCAGATGCTTCTTCTGTCACCCTAGAATGGGCTTTGTAGAGAGAGACATCCTCTTCTTTTCTTTGGTCTCTGCTGGTGACCTTCCTTGCACCAATGCACTCCAGTGGCTGGCAGACCATCCGCACGGTGGTTGTGGAGTCGAATCACTTTTGCAGCAGCTGCGGTCATTGTGGTGGCTGTGGTGCGCCACCCACATAGAGGTGATGTTTTTGGCATGCTTCTTGGCACCGGCAGTGTGCCTGGATGTAGGAGGGGCGTCCAGTCCCTGGCTCCATACCCCAGTCCGCAGGCGGGCCCTGAGGCACTGGCAGTAAGTCTGGGCCAGAACTAATTTTTTGTTCTTTGCTTACTTCTAAAATGGGGGAACTTCCTGTGGGGACCAGTACTTGAGCTCTGTGGTTGAGCTAAATTGCTGCTTTGCTGCTGATTCCCTAGGGAAGGCTTTTTGTGCAGCTCTGGTTTTAATGGTTGACTTTGTAGGTACTTCCAGCTCTCCAGCAACTTGGCGCACCTGGGTTGTGTAGAAACTCTGATCTGGGCCTGAGTCTTTTCATCAAACTGCACCCCATGCGCTTCTATATTCCTGACCAGTCTCCTCTGAGTGGTTCTGCACTGACTGGGGTGCCAGTCAGCTGTCCTTGCTGTGCCCCAGTGTTCCCCCAGTGAGCCCATCTCCACCACTGCCCATGCTGCAAACACTTCCCACGGGACGGGCCATGCGCCGGTCCCTTGCAATGACTCACCAGCCTCTGAGTGGCTCCTTTTCTTCAGTTGTTCTGGCTCCTCGCTCCTATGTGGGTCCAAGGGAACCATATTAGTGGTCTTTCTGGCCTGGGGGCCGCCAAGGCCCTCTTCTTTCCTGCTCCCTCTAGGCAACTCCATCTGAAAGGCACAGCTGCAGTTTTTGCCAGCTCCTGCTCTGTGTGCTCAGCAGCTCTAGCCTTAAAGCAGCCGCAACACAAAATGGTCATAGCGGTTTTTTCTCTCTCTCGTTGGGACTTCTCACACCTTCATGCACTCCATAGGTCTCTCCTCTTCTTCCCCTGAGCTCTAGCAGCCCCAGCTTGGCTCTTGTTGCTTTTTCATAGTTGTAAATTGATTTGTGGGAGAGAGTGACGCTGGGGACCATCTATTCCGCCGTCTTGACCGGAAGCCTAGTTTCCTTTTCTTATACCCACACTTTGGTTTTGGGAAACACAATTATCTGGTTGGATTCAAGAAGCACCTGTGACCATCAGACTTGGAAAACAGTTTCCTCTTGTTATATGCTTTGATAACATAACAGATAGGCCCAGGTAGACCTCATCAGTTTTATGATGACTCTTTTACCTTCAATTTCAGATGCTGATGCTTTTTAATTTTTGTCCCAAACACTACACATGAAACACTTTCGGAATGACTGGAGACTTGACTTTCCTCATCTGAGGAAAATAAGGGCATTAATCCAGATTAGTGGCTGCAATAGGAGCTTCCACAAGGGGAAGAACTGCTCCTGGGGAAAGGAAGTCAAGCTTTATCCTTACTACAGACTGAAATTTGGTAAAAGTTTGCCCTTGAAAAATGGTTCTACTGCTTTTTAAAAGTTTGCAAACCACTGGTCTGGGTGGTTTTCCAAGGTCTCTTCCAAGTGTTAAATTACCTTTTTGATTTTTAAAATTCACTCATTCAACAAATATTTTGGAAAATGCCTTACTATGTAGCCAAACTCTGTGCTAGGTATGGTGGTTACAATAATGAACAACATGTTAATAAACATAGACTTCTAAATTAACATACTGCTCACAAATATAGACTCTGCCCTCAAGGCACCTACTGTTTTTTGGTTTTTGATTTTTAGAAATTGAATAGTGATGGAGATATATGTCCACAGACAGAGTCACCAAAAAATTCTATTTTCTGTTTCCTCAAGTACGAAAATGAAATGGTAAGAGTCCTCACACTCAGGGGACACATGTTTCTTCTATGGACATTGATCCAAGTGTCCCTTCTTCTCTGCCCATTACTCAGAAGACACAGGCTGAATGATACAAACAAAACCAGTTGTTAAGTTGAAAAATCAAACTAGATTTTATTAAAATATACATAAATAACCCTCACTTTTCTTTATTCATCAGTATTGGGAAGTTAAGTAAAAATTAAGTGAAAAGTAGTAGATGAAGGCCAAAAGGGAGCCAAGGAAACCATATTCCAGCCCAGACTTGCCACTTACCAGTCTGGGAAAGGTATTTAGTGTCATGTTCTCAGCTACAGAATGAGGTTGTTGGAATATATATGTTGTCTGGGGTCAACTGCAGCTGTAAAATTTTACTCTTCTCATTCTGTTACTAGGAGCAAATGTGAAGTTATTTATGTACTATCTAGCAGGTACTCACAGTGAAAGAGAATGAACACTGAACTCACAGGAATACTTTGAAGGAAGACAAGAGAAATACAGAAGTTTGCTGCTTAAAAAAATGCATTGATATTACTGCTTTATTCACACTAATTAGAGTATATACACGAAAAATGTGTATCATGTTGCTTTCAAAAAATTCCATGTTCCATGAGAACTATGTAAACAATATAAATGTTTTTACTACATAACAAAAGAAGAAAATCAGCATTCTCATGTATTAGGAAAATATTTAGATAATTTGAATGTTTAGTAAACAAAGTGAAATATTACAAAGCAGTCTTTTCATGAAATAGCTTTCCACCCTCAAAGCAATACATTTCGTACTTTGGAACACTTTGGTATAAGTGAAATTAATACAAAGCGAAAAACAAACTCTACTTTGGTCTTCTCACATTAATTGGAACTTCAGCCACCTCCGATGATAAAATGGCAAAGCCCTCATTTGCTCCCCTCTCCTACTGGAGAGGCTGCTAGGCGAGCTCTTCACAGGAGCTCTTCACTTGCTTTCACAACTAGGCTCTCAGCAATAGCCTGAAGGCTTTATGAAGCCTCAGATTCAGGGTGAAAGATAAGTGATCTTGGTTACTTTCTCCTAACAAATACAAATAACCCTTCATTAAGGCAGCTCAGAACTACAATTCACATTTAAAGTAGAACATAAATTTCTTCAAAGTCATATTACTATAGTTTCTCAAGAAGTCCATACTTGAATAAAAAGAACATACCACATTAATAAAAAGAAAAATGCAAGTTTAATAGCCCACTGACAATAGTTTTTAAGAAACAAAAATAACCGTTTGCATGCTACAAATATTTCCTCATTGATATCACACATAACTTTGACAAATATACAACTAAACTGAAGAATTTTTTATTTCATCATTTTTATAATTACATTTTCTCATCTATACTATCCAAATGTGGTACTGATTTTTTCACTGTCCTTTTGTTCTGTGTATTTTCCTTAAATGAATCCCTACATCAGAGAATTATATGATCAACTGAGCAACCGTCGATGAATCGCTTTTCTGTCATCCACCACAGGAGCAAACTGGGAAGGTCCTCTGAGGATTTTCTCAGCAATGTAATTTATACTGGGACTTTCTGTGAAGACAATAAAGTCTTAAAAAGAAAAAAAAAAAGAATCCTCAGTGAACTTTACAAACTTACAGTAATAATAATGCATTCCTCCTTTCTGAAGTAAAACACACAGTCAAGTGCTCAACTTTACTGAACAAACACTGCAAACTGCCTCCAAAGAACACAGCCTGTGAGCACAAGTCCTTAGGCAATCCCAAGGCAGGACAGCAACAGGGAGCATTCAGTAAGATTAACTAGCATGATTAATCCTCATAACAAAGCCAGTTTAGAAAGTAAAAGACAAACTTTAAAGTTAAGTATCTGTCAGGTTAATTTGAGGCTTTTTAAAGAACAACTCTAAAATGAACAAAAGGAAATAAACATAAAAGAGTTGTTCAAGGGCCGGCCCGGTGGCGCACTGCTACAGTGCGCCACTTGGGAGTGCAGTGGCGCTCCCGCCGAGGGCAGGCTAACTGGCCACAGTCAGGTCAGCATTGTAGACGACAGCCCCAGGGCTGTGCTGAGAGCCCCACCTGTGTGCGTGATACATATAGGAAAACACACCCTGTGCCTTATGGAACCCACTCTCATTTCTTCCCCATTTAAAAAAAATTGTGGGGGCCGGCCCGGTGGCGCTCCCGCCGAGGGTTCGGATCCCACGTACAGACCGGTCCCGCTCACTGGCTGAGCGAGGTGCGGGAGCAACACCAAGGGTTGCGATCCCGTTGCCGGTCCCAGTCCAGTACGGGCGCAACACTGAGGGTTGCGATCCGTTGCCGGACACGAAAAAAGACAAAAAGGGAAAAAAAAAAAAGAGTTGTTCAATAAAACTGATCTATGCTTGAATTAACCATGTATAGAATAGAAGGACTGTTAATACATTAATTATTTTATGGTATTAGTATAGTATTAGGAACTTAAGTTCTTGTCCAAATTTTATAGCCAAGTATAAGAAGAAATAAAACACAGTTTAAATCATAAGTAAAGTAAAAGGTTCTTACTGAGTTTTCTGTATCAGGTGATATCAAAACCCTAGGACTACTATTGTTTGGGTGTTATTTGTTTTGCTTTGTCTTATTGGGGGACAGAGTATTAGGGGAACTTAAATCACTGCAAAATTCATTTGGGATAATAGTCAAAACTATGGTATACTAAGAACCTGTACTGCCAGATGTTAAAAAGTATAAAGTTACAATTATTAAAACATCATATTTCACCAGTCTAAGATGCATCATTGTTTTATGTACCATGAAAAAAAGATGCCCAGGAAAGGGAGTCTCAAAGACGACAGAGACCCTCACAACAAGTGCGGACACCAAATGGCTACAGCCTCGTTAAGAGGTAAGAGAAAAGAACCCTCCGTGCAGAAGGGACAGCAAAGAAGCCCACACACCTCTTCCATGACAATGTGAAGAGAGGAAAAAAATTCCTTGATATTCGAATTGGTACCACCATCCTGCCCAGCCTGGAAATTTTGTGATCTGAATTCACACTACCAGCACAATCCAAGAAAATCTCAGGCACAGAAATTAACTTAAGCAGACTTAGGTTGGTGGGGATCCCCAGTAACTGGCAGAAGAAAATGCATGTCCTCTCAAAAATAACTCAACATCCATCTAGGCACAGCTGATTTTAAGAGGCATTCCAAATTTAAAGGTGCTAAAATGTGGAAATCAATGAAATATGACAGACAGATAAATAAGTCAATCAGAAAGCCTAGAAAACAAATTCTGGGCATATAATAAAAATGTCAAACAATTGCAAAATATTTGGCTTATGACAAAAACATGGAACAATGACAAAAGGTACATTATTCCATATGTGACACAGGCAAAATCAATTAGCTATTTAAGAAAAACGTTAAATTCCTCTCTATGCCATGCTCTTCTAAACTATAAAGCCAAGTGAAAAAACCATGTAAGAACTAAAAGAAAATGAATGTAATTATCTAAATAATAATTAGTCTTAAAAGACTGGCCTACATATTTTTAAAACATGCTCCCTACTCCACTTGCCCCCAAAAATCCAAAGCACAGCAAATATAAAAGGCAAATATGAAACTGGAAAAAAATGTTTACAATGACAAAAGGTTAATATCCATAAATGTCATAATTATAAATCAAGAATAAACAAAGTACCCTACCCCACACTTCCAGGAAAATGGAAAAAGTTCAAGAACAGGCAATTGACAAAAGAAGAAATATAATCAGCCGGTTAAATACACCAAAAATATTCAACTTCACTAGTAGTGGAAATGTAAATAAAAACAATGATATAACAATTTCTGGCTATCAGATTGGCAAAAGTTTAAAAAACAGTAATACCCAGCGTGGGCAATGGTGCAAGAAAACTGGCACTTACGTATTTATGTTAGATGTGAAAATTGAGCAGCCTTTCTGGAATGTAATTTAGCAATAAATATGGACCAAAAAGTCTTTCAAAATGTGCACTATTCCTAGATCTAACAATGCTATTTCTAGGAATTTATCCCAAACAAACAGAGATGTGGGAAAAGTATGTAAAACTACACGTTATAATAGTGAAAATTTGGAAGATCACCTAAACATCCAACTATGGGGGAGAAGTTAAGTTTTTTAATAAAAAAATAGAACTATAAAATGGAATGCAACGCAATTATTAAATTATCATGTATAACTGAAGTACTGTTAGTACTAACAAAAGATTAGAATAATCTAAATGTCCATCAACAGGGGACTAGTTAAACAAATTATAGTGTAACAGTCAATGGAATACATTAACAAGAATGAGGCAGCTCTCATGTTCTGATATATATCCTTCTCTCAGCCTGAAAATGATTTTCTTCCCCCAGATATGCACCTGGCTAACTTGCTAAAATGATACTTTACCAATGAGGGTGTCCCTTGCTATCTTATGTATACTAGCAACTTGCTCCCATCCAAACACACTCCTCCCCTCCTCACCCTGCTACTCACTGTTTACCATCTGGCACCCTTCAATCGTTTACTGTTGGTCTGTCTTGCCCAGAGGAAGTAAGACCCTTGAGGGAAGAGACTTTAGTCCACTACTGTGAACTCCAGCACTTAGACTAGTACCTGGCACTTAGTAAAGCACTCAACAAATACTAGATGGATGGGTGAATGGATGGAAAAGGAACAATCTCCAAGATACAATGGTAAGAACAGTGTGACAATTTTGCTATTATTTGTCTTTTAAAAAGGAAAAAAATTACACATACGTATGCATTAGGAGATGCCCAGAAGGATACACAAAACTAGGAACAGTGACTGCCTCTGGGCAGGGAAACTGGGGAAGAGTTACAGGAGGGCGATCCTTCACTTGCCACTTTTAAAAGCTGAACCAAATGTATGTATAACTCATTCAGAAAAACAAACAAATATTGTAAATACATACCCACACACATATACATGTTGTAGGCAACACAGGAAAATTATATAATATATCCTTAAGAGGAAAAAACACACTACAACATAGCAAACAATATGAAATACATGTATACAAACTTAGAAAAAAGCTTAAAAGGATTAACTTCTAACATTTTTTGTTGGTAAGATTATAGGTAATTTCTTCTGCTGCTTGTTCTTTTCTGTATTTACTAAGGTTTCTGTACAATGCACTATTATTTTGTAATTGTTTCCAAAAATTGCTTTTCAGTACAGAGTATCTGTTTTACAGCATGTAACAGCCCCACAAGACCCTACCACACAGCAATTCCCTATCCATCATACCTCAACCCCCTCAAAAACCTGCTCCCTGGGCTGGCCCAGTAGCGCACTGGAGAGTGCGCCGCACGGGAGTGCGGCAGCACTCCCACCGAGGGTTCGGATCCCATGTGGAGACCAGTTCCCGCTCACTGGCTGAGCGTGGTGTGGGCGCAACACCGAGGGTTGCGATCCCATTACCGGTCAGTAAAAAAGACAAAAAGGAAAAAAAAAACCTGCTCCCTCCACTAGCCTTCCCAGGAAAAGGTACCGCCATCCAACCAGTGGCTCACATTAAAATCCTAAGTCATACTTACCTCTTCTTTCCCTCAGACCCTCAATGAACTCATGGGTAAGTCATGAACAACTCTACCTCCAAAACAGATCTGAATTCAGTCACCTCAACACCCCTACTACTATAGCCCTAGTCACAGGCACCACCAGCCTCTTATCTATTTTCCCTGCCTCCATTCTCGCCCCTCTAATTGTCTACCCTCTACCCAGTGCCCAGAACAAGCTTCCTAAAGTATAAACAACATCATGTCACTCATCTTCCTAAAAGCCGCCAATTTTTCATTATACTTAGTACCAGATCCCTCACAACCAGGCCCACCTACCTCTCTGACTCATGCTGCTCCTTTGTGTCTTCATTCATTACCCTCTAGCTATACTGATCTGCTTTCTGTCCCTCAAACACGACATGTCTGTGCCCGTCTCAGGACCTTTGCAGCTGCTCTTCCCCCTGCCTGGCCTGCACTCCCCATACCCACATACATCCAACTCCTCCTCACCACTCCAATGTCATCAATTCAGGGAGGCCTTTCCCGGAAGCAACCCCCAGTCACTCTCTACCACATCTTCCTGTTATTTTATCTTATCCGTACACCTATCAATATTTAAAATTGACTTATGTATTAGAGTACAGGCTTACTGCCAATCTTCTCCCAGGAGAAGGTAAATTCCTTGAAGGTGAGTATCCAATCTTGTTTACCACTTATCCCCAGCATGAAAATTGGTGTCTGGCACATAGTAGGTACTGAATAAATATTTGTCAACCAACTGAATGACTATTTTAAATTGAAAATTTAGACTGTAATAGTTTTTAATATTACACTCAGTTTATTTTATTATTATAATATCAGAAATGGTGAACATGGATAAAATGATACAGAGTTTGATTATAAAATGGTTTTGTACACCTTTTTCCTACTCTGTTAACTAAGACTCCCTTATATACAGCATAAAAAACACCAAAATGATCTAAATGCTCTTTAACAGAAAACTGGCTAAATAAGATGAAATACAGCCATAACCCCGTGTGTGTGTATGTCTGTGCGCGTGCGTGCGTGCGTGCGTGCGTGTGTAAAACCATTAAAGAGAATGAAAAAGACCTACACATGCTAATACAGAATGTTGTGCCAGCTGTCTGGCTGACTGAAAACATCAATTTGCAAAACAATATATTTAATGAGATCTATTTGTTTTAAAATGCATGCATATTTGTTTGGATGTGCACAGAAAAATTTCTCTAAGGAAACCCTACTAAAGATGGTCACTTCTCTAAAATGAGAAGGTAGATGCTGAAGGGATCTTCACTTATCATCTACTGTTAGAAAACCGAACAGTTCTAAAAAGTACTTTTGATTTCAGCAATTTAGAGCTCAGCACTTTATATTTCACTTTTTCAAAAGCTTTTAAATTTTTATCTTTAAAAAAAAAAAAAAGTTACTTGTGCTGGCCAGTTAGCTCAGTTGGTTAAAGCACAGTGTTATAACACCAAGGTCAAGGGTTCAGATTGCTGTACCAACCAGCTGCCAAAAAAAAATACACTACATATTTTTTAAATTGGAGGTATCAGGTGTCCCAGGAGGGCAGTTAGGAATATAGAGCATGGGTGACTTGCAGGTTAAGTTCACCCATCACCAATTTAACCCCCTTCTGTATTCTTTCTCTCTATAAAGGTTGGGAATGCTTAAAACATCACTTTTACAATCTTTCATACTGACTGGGTGGGAGGGAGACAAGGGACACAGGCCTAGTCAATAGGTATGAGAGAATTTCTGGACATGCTTTTTCTTTCCTAGTTAAAAGGGATAGATATGACCAATACTGCTCTTTCTCCTTATTCAGGCCTTGAATGTAGATATGATGTCTGGAACTATAGGAGCATCTTATAACTATGAGGCAGCAAGAGCCAACACTCAGGTAGAAAGATGCAAGCAGTCGGGGTGTCTGGCTCCTTAACAGAGCAACCCTTCCTGTTTCAGAAGAAAACTAAACCTCCATTTGTTTAAGGTAGTGGGAATTGGGTTCTGTGACCTATAGCCAAAGGAATTCCTAACTGATATTCCTGGGAATCGATTTTAAAAAGAAACTAAAAATAAAAGAACTCAAATTCTATGCAGATTTAGAAAGAAGACTGTAAGTCAGAAATGCATATTACAAATCAATTCCCCTCCTTAATGTCTCTATTCTGAATTTTTAAAAATAAAAAAAAAAAAAACTCATAGGAAAACAGAAAAGAACAAAAAGAAAATCACAGTCAATATCAACTCCACAAGAAAGACTTTAGAATGCAAACAGTTAGAATTTATACATGCAATAAATATAAACTCACACAGAAAAACTGAAGTCTGATCAATGCTGTGGCTGTTCTGGACTAATGTTCATTGTTCGATAAATTTCTTTAAGTAGTAAGAGGGCAGTATCTTCAGATTCCCTACGAAAAAGAAAAGCATATTTACTTAAGAAACAATCAGTAGAAATTAACCACTATGCACAAAGGTGGAAATGCAGCTTTTGTTTTATTCAACACTATTTAAGAAAGGCAAATGACAGTAAAGCAATGTAATCTCTGACCTGCCCTTAAAAACTGGATGCATGCCAAATAGTTGTGTCGCACTTCTTGTTGATGATGGGGGGATACACGAAAAATGGCTTTTCAGAGTCCCTACCACTCCCACTGTGAAAGACATCCCTACAAAAAATCTGCAAGTACCGAGTCTCTGGTCAAAAGCAGATGACATACTGCCATCTTGTGGATAACTGAAGCGAAAATATACTGTTTTGAATACATAGGAGTTCAAATTAATATTCCATAACAAATAATATATTAGTATAAGAGTCTCACTAAAACTAAAATCGCTGTATGTGCTAGCACCTAAAGGCCACTCAAACGTTATCAAAGTTAAGAATACTTACCAATAGCATAAATGACTCTGAAGAGCGAAAAGATATTCATTAAAACTCTCTATTGGCTTTTCTTGAAGAACGTAGTCAATTCGGCGGCCTCCATTTAACATTCCAACCTTTCCTAAGTAGTCCTCATCCTTGGAAAAATCTGGACTTTCAACAATCTTTTCTGCTAGAATTTAAATCATTTCAATATCAAAGTCAATCACTTAATCATTATCCTTTGACTTTAGCTGACTTTCTGGGCTCAATGAGAACACTGCTTGACACACGTAGCAACCTGGGGAGCTACCAGGTTCACTCCCCATTCCTCCAAAGAGCCAGGGGAAGAGGGGCTGGTTACAGAGGAGAGAAAGAGCCAACGAGCTGACAGAAGTTGTGAAGATAAGGGGTGAGAGAGCATTGTAGAAAGAAAGGAAATAGAATTAGAATCTGAAAAAGTCAAAAACATCACGGCACAATGACCTGACATTCATATGAAGTCTATAACAACACAGCTAAACAGTATCAGGAAGATAACTTCTCAGAGTGAGTCTTTAAAATGCCTGAATACAAACTCAGTTCTCAACTCTGATATTGCACTCTGGCCTTACGAGTCTCAACAAACAAAAAATTGCAGAGTAAAAAGTTCAAGTAACTATCAGGTAAAAACTAAGAAAAAAGGATAACATGGATTTTGAAGTAACACATGTGACAGTAAGTTTACCATAACAGATTTTCCTTTATAGGAAGAGCCTCTACAATTTAACAAAAAAGACTAGAAAGAAAAGCATCATTAAACAATTTATAAGTGTTATGTTCACAAACAATGTTTGTACTAGAAAATGCCTCGAACGTCAAATTTACCTTCAACTACTTGCTTTTCTTCTTCTTCTTTGATTTGATTGGCTACCTTCTCCAGTTCTTCTTGCAATTGAGTTGAAGAGGTATGAGCACGGGCAAACTCATTTAATGTCTGCCAAGCACTTTTCAGAGAGCTAATAAAACCTTGCTTCAAATCAGATCCCATACGAGAGAGACTTTCTTTCAACTCTAAAGAGATTAAGATGACACACCAAGTTAATTAGCCACTGGGTAGAATTCTGTATCACAAAAATTAAAAGTTAATACTCTTCTCAGAAGGGCTAAACCCTCTTCTGCCTTCTCTTAAACATCAAATATATATATGAAGTGTCCCAACCAAGAACCCTCACCATGTTAAACTGTCATAAGGAGTCTCACTCTGTCATTTTTTTTTAATGTCTAAACTTGATCCAACCAAAATCTATAAATTTCCTCTCTCCAAAAAAAGTTCATATATCACAAAAATGTAAGCACATTCACATGCTTTTTTTACTGTAAGTTAAAAAATGGACCCACAAGATTTTTAAAAAATCAGTTTTTCTTATCTGTAATAGTGAAAAGGTTTCAAGAATTTAAGATTCCAATACAACACAATGTAAACTTCTAATTTAGAAATGAAGAAACCCCTACCCCTTTGCTTTTTCTACTTTTGCCTATTAATCTTATTTGAATTCAAGGCCTTTAGAGTTATCAAATTTCTCATTTTCACTTCAAAAGAGCTAAATGGTTTTTAAAAAGCATGACATTAATAAAACAGACAAAAAACACACTTTTAAATGAGAGGGTATGATCACTTTTTTCTTCTCTTCTCCACACTCCCATCCCTTCCACCCAACTTTTTAAACCTAGGGATAAGTAGATGCCATTAACATGCAAAAGAGAAATCTAAATCCCACCTGGAATTATTAATCCATTTGTTTAATGAATTTTTTTTTAACAGGGAAAGTTTGTCTAGTTTGGAAGGAAATAACAGCTTATTTGACTTAGACAACATCAAGTTTATTTCTTGATGGTTTGGTCATTAGTTTAAATGTTATTCCTCTCCCAATTCCAAAAATTATAACCAAACTCTATCAAAAATCTAATTATGCATCTTATCACCTTGCTACCACCTTCCCCCAATTCTTAATTATCTTAACAATCAGAATGCCATCAAAGAGAAGGAATGCATTCATAAATTCTTTATAGCTCATCCAAATCCTTAGTAAAAAACTTCTGAACATTGTAGGCTCTTAAATAATATTAAATCTGTCAGAAAGAATTTAGTATTAAAGTTTTTATAATTCAGTATGGATCACAAAATTACAAGTTTTTATGGTATCTGCTTTTTACCTAAATGAAGTCTTTTTCTGCCTTTGTGATGTGGAATGAGAACTGCTTTGAGGTCCAATTCTGGAACAATCATAGGTTCTAATCTATATGCCACTGGATCAAGCTGTAAATAGAAGAAATGGAAACTAATGTAAAGCCGCTGTATGTTGAGTTTATATGCCACAGTCAGGTAAGAAAAATGGATAATTGGCAAACTAGGGACTTTTATATTTTTCACACCTTACTCAAATACTGGCAAATTATAAGAAGATTTTCAAGTTCATGGGTAAAATTTCTTTGCAAGCAAAGCAACAGAATTATTTCCTTGAACAAAGGCTTTTTGGTGGAAAAGTTTATTGGAAAGTATCAAACTATATCTCTCAGGACAGAGAGCTAAGCCTTACAAAATCAAAATTGGTTTTGGGCCGGCCCGTGGCTCACTCGGTAGAGTGCGGTGCTGATAACACCAAGGCCACGGGTTCGGATCCTATATAGGGATGGCCGGTTTGCTCACTGGCTGAGCGTGGTGCTGACAACACCAAGCCAAGGGTTGAGATCCCCTTACCGGTCATCTTTTAAAAACAAAAAAAAAATCAAAATTGGTTTTAATTTCCAAGAAGTAAAATCCTGAGAATCTACTAGGATAAAAATGACAGGTTCTTCATCTTCTTCAAAGCAGAAAGTAAATTAAATTCACTCACCGGATGATAAATATTGAAAAATCCTTTACAGGTAGGAAGTCTGTAGTTCTCATCAATCCTATCCACTCCTCGAACAGTAAGAAACATACCAATTGGAGATCCCAAGGCAAAGAAAATCTCTGGTTCAAAGTCTAATGAATTGTAAATAACAGAAACCTAGAAAGAATCAAATAACCATAAAAGATGATCATTCCAATATCACACAGTACAAAAATTCTTTCCAATTTTCAAAAGTTCTTAGAACAACACTCACTTAAAAGCATCTAAACAAAGATGATGCCCCTTGTAGACAGATATTGCTAGCTTAAAAGAAATAAAAAATTGTTCTTTAAAATCTTTGTAGTTATTTTGGCTATACTTTTACTTATCTAGCATAATATATACAGCACATAAAAAGTATATTTATTATGGCTATCAATGTGGTAAAACTACAGACTCTAGAATCAGTCCATGTGGGTCTGAATCCTGTTTCCACTCCTTACTCGCTGTGTGACCCTGGGCAAGATTTTTAACCTCTCTGACCTCCGTCTTAGTTTCCTCATCTATAAAATGGGAATTATAACAATGCCAAACCCACAGTTTGAAAAATAAGTAACCTAATCCATACAATGTGCTTAGTACAGAGCTTGGCATATCTTAAGCATTCAGTGAGTGCTACCTCTACTGTAACTACCATGCTCTCTAGTTCAGGCAAGTTTCTTTCCATGAGAAAAATAATTTGTACCAAAAGAGCCCCTGTTTTGGATAGGTTGTATGTAGTCTCTCAAAAGAAAGAACTGACATTTCTAGTTTACAACTCTCTTTCATTTGTTTCTCAGTGGCAGGAAATGTGTCTTTGTCATTTTGGTATCTTGAGAGTGAAGAAGAATGGCAAAATCCAAGCACTAGACAGAAGTCCAGTGAAAGAGCGCAGTACGGCAAGAATCATCATGCCCGCTTCTCAGATGATGACAGTGAAGCTCAGATGCGTGACGCGACTACCCCAAGAACACATAGCCAGTGAGTGGCCGAATGAGGACTTAGATCCAGGACTTCTAATTCCAAATTTAAGGATATTCTGAACATAATTTTCTAACTATAACCACTTCTGTTGTTAGTACCTATGACAGACTAATGCTGTAAAATTATGAGTGGTGGAAAAACTGAAATAAAGACAATTTCAAAAGTCGGATAACATGTTCCACTCATGTTCAATCCTTTATTTGAACATTATGAAAGAAGGATAAAATTTTTACTAAGAGATGAAATCGGTTTTCTCCATACACCCCAAATAAATGTTAAATATTTTAAAAATTTATGCCAACCTAAATAATAAAGATGTATGATTCCGACATAAAATATGTAGCTCTAGTCAATATGCAAACTTACCTGTCCTGTGCCAACTTCGAAAGACTCATAATCAACACGCACAGAAGAAACATAAGCACCAACTGGAAGTTTCCTCTTTGACTCATTAGTTTCTGAGGAAAGAGAAGCCATTTCTTTAGTTTTCTGAGCAATTTCCTCTTGTCCTTTTGTTGATGTGGCCATCGCTGCCTTCTTTTCTGATGCTGCTTTTTTGTGTTCCTGTAAAATAACAAAATTTTATAACATCATCTTGAGGAAAAGTTCAGTTCTCAGTGATCAATATGAAACATGCTACCTCAATATCAAGGAATAATTAGTAATTTCTTAGGCATAATAACAACATTGTGGTTATTAGAAAAATGTCCTTTTCAGTCCAACCTCCCATGCCCCCAGCTGGGTGGTGGGGTTTGCACTGGCCACGTGCTGGAGCAAGAGTTGGATTTCAAGAGGCAAGAGACAGATCGAGGTTCCTGCACTGGGCACAGAAAGCTAGAGGGGCAGGTCAGATCACAGTTCCTAAGGATGAACATGAAGTCTAATGGTCTGAAATCAGATGTGGCAGAGCAAATAACTTGCTATTAGGCAGAAATGGGGCCCATGAGTGGGAAACCTTTGTGTGGGATGCTCGGCATTTTCCACTGGAGAGGGTGGGGTGGTCTGTGATGCTTGAACTGCTATGAAAGGGATATTTTTAACGCAGTGTATTTATAACTCCAGAGCCACTCATAACGTTTTAAAGTAATAAAAAATTTGAATTAGTTCAGATTAAAGTATATAACATAAGGAATGGAAATTGCATTTATGACCAATTAATAAAATTAACCTTTTTAAGATTTTACGGAAAAAAAGAAAAAAAAAAAAAGAAAGAAAGAAAGAAAAGAAAATGTCCTCTTTAGAGACACATACTAAATATTTAGGGAAGAAATGATATGATGCTTTTAATTTGCTTTAAAATTCTTAAGGAAAAAGGATTAAGAAGCAAAGAAAATACATGACAAAACAGCTACAATTAAATCTAAGAATTGACCATTATTAGATGAATCTCAAAAATAATACTTTGAGTAAAAGAAGCCAGATACAAATGAGTACATATTATTGATTCTATTTATATGAACTTGTAGAATAGGCGAACTATTCTAAGTGATAGAAATTAGAAAAGTAGTTGTATGGTGGGAGGAGTTAACTAGAAGGAAACATGAGGAAGCTACTTGAAGTATAGAAATGTTCTATTTCTTATTTTAGGTGGTGATTACACAGGTATATACAACTGTCAAATTTATTACAACAAACACTTTAATATCTATCCATTCCCACAGGTAAATAAACAAAACTTTGGGGGCATCTATATAAAAGGAGTTATCTCTGTAATGAGACAAATTCACACTGGTTTATAATTATCCCTCAATATAGCAGCAATGTAAACAGCTGCCATGGGTGGACTTGTCTACTCCCCACAAGCACGTGTTTCAGTTTCTGTTATAGCTATCAACAGTGCATAAACAAAACAGTTGGCCAAACTGGTCTTATCTATTAATTAATTCCAAATACTAGGAAATCATGAAAGAAGTCCAACTTGTTAAATCAAAAGGCAACATAAGAAAAAGAAAACTCTCAGTCAGCCAGCTTATAAATGATTCCACTATTAATGTTTTTGGAAGGCTTGGTTACCTCTGCCCTTTAGAGGTAGCACAAGATTAAAACCCAAATCCAAAATGAGGAACATTTTCAGGTTTATTCAGTTTAAAGTTGCTTCCTCATCTAAAAGTACCTCCCCCGATATTCACAGAACTTAACATTCTAAATTTCTAAAACAGCTGTCAAAAGAGATCATAAACTGTCCTACTGCTAAGAGCTGTTTTGTTCCCCTAAATTAGCAATAATTTTAAAACTAAATGAACCAACATACACATACTTGACTATTAATATTCCCAACGTAAAAACAATTCCTTCTCAACTGAAAATCTCTAAGATGGTTTTCAAGGGAAAAAAAGCATACAGGCCACAAATATTTGATCTCCTTTTTATAAAATAATTGGCTAATTTGGGTTATTTCAGCTACAGTAAGTCAATAGGACAAACCATCTTATCTTATTATCTGTCTGGCAGCACCTTGTTATCTGTAAGAAATGCAGAACAATCAACAGCAATCCGCTGAGAAAGTTTCATGGTTCATCCAAAGGCAATTACTTTTGAATTTAAAAAACAAAATCACTCTATAGATTTTTACTCACTTCAAAACACTCTTATAATGCCATAATTTATATATTCAAGTCTATAAACCAGGCTCCTAGAAATTTTTAAAGAACTATAGAACACTTATCTACTTTTCCTTTTATTACAGAATAAAATTAGGGACATGACATAGGGCCTGAAAACATAGCTTCTCATTTCTTGTGTAAATCTTTTTTACAGGCTTTTGCTTCACTGATGCATACATGGAGACAAATGTTTTCACGCATAGGACACCCAGCCTGACATACAGGAACTAGCATGCTTGTTTCCCAGTCTGTTTGACCACCATGCCTGTCAGAGATTAATACCTGGGCATCTCTGAAGCAATTGCTGTGGGGCTCAAGTGAGGTGAAGAGCTCTTTGTAAACTGGAATTATAGAATGACTCAACATACAGGAAAAATGACATGAAAGAGATACCTCTTAATTGCCAAACTAATAACCTTTCTCAACACTTAAATACTGTTTGTTCAACATCTAAAATGTCTTGAGTTGCTCCATTCCTTTCCATCTCCTAGTTTATACCCCTATCACCTCTCACTCAGTCACTACACAATTACAATGACTATGATAAGAGATTCCCACAGGCTCTTCCACCTCCATCTCTGCACTGTAACCAAGCAAACTCTCTAGAATGCAAACCCAACCACAAACCTGTCCTGCCCTCACTGCCCCATCGGCCTACAGCAGGTTCTCAAACATCTCCTCAGAAACTAAAACAAGAGGTTCACTGCTGCTAAAATGAAAGTGTGGCCTGATAACAGGAATATAAAATCAAGTTGATAATAGATTTGTTACAACTTTAAGATTTGCTCCAACATTTTTTTGCTTTCAGTACTCCATACCAACCAGTAGGCCCCAGCTAATAGCAAAAGAAAGCAAATGTTAATGGAAAACTGGAAAAGAGTCAATACACTCAAAAATTCATTTATTACAGACATATGCGTTCACAGCTGAAATTTTATAATGTGGTTTATGGCATATATTTTTTAATGTTTTAATTTCTAAAAAAGTTAAAATTAGGGCCGGCCCGTGGCTCACTCGGGAGAGTGCGGTGCTGATAACACCAAGGCCACGGGTTCGGATCCTATATAGGGATGGCCGGTTGGCTCACTAGCTGAGCATGGTGTTGACAACACCAAGCCAAGGGTTGAGATCCCCTTACCGGTCATCTTTAAAAAAAAAAAAAAGTTAAAATTAAAATTTAGACTATTTTAAATAGATGGTTTGGTGCTTAACCATAATTTGTGATAGAATTAATAAGCAGGCTGGGACAGTGGGGGGCTGAGGGCCCCAGCCACATACCCCCCCCC